GATTCCACGGACAAGCTGCGGGGTGCTTTGATGAAGTTTAAGACTCGCTATGAAGAGTTCTTGGATGAGTGACTTGGAACTATATTTCACTTAAGTGTTTACCTTTGGTACCTTTTTGCTTTTGACACCCCTGTGGTATTTTATATCCACGGGTCCTGATCAATGATTCTGAGGATCAAGGGGATTGATGCATTGGCGACGCTGAAGGATTTGCAAGCAGAGATTGCCGACAATGTACCTAGAACCATATTAAACAATATATTTTGTTTGTAAATCCTCACTTGAAAACAGCTCAAAACATTTGGAAGTATTGTCAGTGGTGCCAAATCCAAGGTATCCAACATGAAGGTCATCAAGGCCCAAGCAAAAGCTGTCCTTTCGGTCCGGAAGAAGGAGAAGAAGGATTCGGCGGCTAGCTCGGCCTCGACTGTTGGATGAGAGGATGGCTTTTCTTCTCTGGAGGGCTAGCGTAGTGCCCATAGGAATGCGTGGGTTGAATCCAGTGGCTGCATCCCCATAGCCTGCTTTGCAGCAATATGGGAAACACTTTGCATCCCCAATGATCTAATAGAGTATATACTAGGAAACACTAGATGTTTGTCACATATATGGATGTCATGCAATTGTGGGAGGGGGTGCTCCATCAATGGATTCGGGATTGAGCATTCGATGCCATCGCAAGCCCACCTTTTGAACATCACCGAAAGAGGTGCATTGGATTCTTGGTGGAAAAAGACATGGGGGCTCATGCCTGAAAAAGGGATGTGTTCGCTTAAGTTTGATGTTCCCGACGCAGGTGACTGGGAAGATCCACATGCGGCCAATAAGCGGCAGAGACTGGATGAGGTGTTTCTTGGAATCCTTATAGTCGTATGTTTTGTTGTTCATGGGTTGCAAGTTGGTATAATTATATTGGAGGAGTTTGTACTCTTCTATACTCTTCTCACCCATGGGCCCTGCTCAGGCTGGCGCGTGGCGTTGGCGCTGGTGCATCTTCAATCCATCATGCCTGCGCAGTTGGGGAGATCTTCGAGTCACAGGTCTTCAGTCGGAGCCTTTGGTTAATCTTGGGAATTGGTTGGATTTGTTTTTGGATATTCTTCTTTGTGTGAACAGTAAAAACATGTGATCTTCCTTTGATGTCACATGCAAGGGTGGGCCAACATGAACTCAATGTTCACCGCAAAGCTGCACGGGAAGGTCTCAGCTATGATGCAAAGATATCCTATATAGAGCTGCCAATTTGCACTCACCAAAACGCTGGCACTGTTGGGATTGAAACGTGGCCAATCCTGCTTCCAGCTGATTTGGAATCTGGGCCAGTATTCAAAAACCTTTTTTATGTGGTTGTCGCAAATTGGTGTCGAGCTATATATGTGCCTTATGCATCCATTTTTCCACAGTTAAGGTAGCTGCTATGATCAAGAATGGAGACCTTAGATTTCTCACTCAGCTTGACAAAATGGAAGACTATTGGAAACATCTTCTGAAAGATTATCCTAATCATCCAGTGGTTGGCCAGGAGGCCATGAGTGTACCTTTGACGTTGTATGGACCCTTCCCTGTGCTTAAGCATGCTTTTGATTTTGGTTCCCAGTGATATGTAGAAAAGAATCATTGAGTGAAAAGGAATGCAACTTGTTTTTGTGATGAGCTCAATGGGCACTGAAGGAGATGAGGGCCAAGCGCTGGGTGGCTCCTGGATGAACTATCACTTCTGCCCATCCTTGAGCCCTTGCATTTCCAATTCTGCCTGCAGCCGCTTCCTCATGTGCTGCATTCCTGCCGCCATGCACCTCAGAGCCATCAAGTACTGTTTTCATGTGCTGTTCTGACGTTGGTCAAAGCTCTTCATGATATTTGCCAAAATTAGCTATAGAAAAGTAATCTAATATGACTGTACCTGTTCACAAAATGATCCCTCACTGAGGTATGTATTTGATGAGCATGGTGTGAATCTTACGCTTCAAGCTGCAACAGCGGCCATTCGGGACAGCTTCAACTCTTTGTCCCGAACTGGTGTGCCAATCCAAGACCCGGAAACTGGTGAGTGCGTGCCTTGACACTTTAGAGATTTTTTAGTAAATCTTTGAACTTTCAATTTTGGTGTTTAGCTGTCTTGAACAAACGGTTTCGTGGTCCAAGCTGCAGTGCATGGGCGTGCATGTAAGGTTTGCACGCTCAAGTTTTGGATTGCGCATGTCACGGGGGATTGGAAATTCCTCTACCAGACCTTCAACTTCCAGCGGTATGCAACCTATGAAGAGGCAAATGGCTGAAAAATGGGGTTGGCCATTGATTGTATCGCTGCCTTGGGTTTGTCATATGTTTTTTTGTTTTCTGTGTTTCATGGCTTATGTTCAACCCTGCAGATCTGCTGGATGTGCCTTTGCACAAAGGGTAGTGATGACCCTTCTTGGAGCTTTACAAACCTGAACGATGGCTGCCCATGGATGGGGACTCTTTTTCAACAAGACCCGTGGAGTATCAAACCTTCTCTTGCTGACTTAGAGGGGTTCAACTTACAAATGCTGTCAGTGGATCTGTTGCACGCTTTCCACTTGGGCTGTGGCCGTGACTTGGCTGGCTCGGCCATTCGGTCTTTAGCGTCTCAAGCAGGCTTTTGGGCTGGCAACACCCAGGATCTTCGACTTGAATCAGCCACACGCAGCCTACGAGCGTTTGCCGCCAACAACCGGCTCAGCTTGACAATTCGGAAGCTTACGAAAAGCAATTTGTCCTGGGAGACAGAATCTTATCCGGAACTGAAGTGTAAGGGGTTCGACACTTTCATTGTGGTCAAGTGGTTGGCGCATGAGGTCACTTTGAGAGATTGTGGCGATGACTTGTTGGCGTGCGCACTTTGGGCAGCGGACAGTTTCCTGCGTGTTTTGCACAAGTCTGGAACGTTTCTGAAAGAGGCTGAAGAACTTCACAAAACCCATGTTGGGAACCTGTTCCTTCGCAGCTACTTGAGGCTTGCTTCCAATGCACTGCAAGCTCGACAAAGGCTTTGGAGGCTGAGGCCCAAGTTCCACCTATTGTGGCATGTGGTGCATGAGCGCAGAGCATCCAGATTGAACGCTACATTCACCTCTACTTGGATGGACGAAGATGCGATGCGAAAATGGATGCGCATCACGAGAATGACTCACAAGAGAACTGCTGCAATCAACACTCTTCGGCGCTTCTTGTTGGGACTCCCGGCCAAGCTGAACTCGGCCAAAGTGCCAGGATCGAGCGCCGAGCCAAGAGAAAGTTGGTCCAACTGGTTGGGATGGTGTGTGTGTGTGGCAATAGGACCTGCAGAGAAAACCATATGCATCTAATTTTTCATGCCGCAGTGGTGGGTTCACCATGTAAACCTAGGGGCTGACCAAAACATGGTAAGGTAACGTGAGAATATATAAATATCTGACCTGAAACCACACCCTATCACACTATATATATGTAGTCATATGTTTTTGTACAACGTGCTAAATTCAAGATAAGGTTTAAACAGAGCCGTGCTGGGCTGCGCTGAGTACAAATACAAAGGACAAGTCTCTTCATGGCATGTTGCTTTCTTTCTTGGGAAGGCTATATCAAGCCTGGTAGTGGAGCCATGTCATCAAAATCGATTGCTGACAACAGCTTTTCACCAGCACTTTTGGCGTGAAAGTGCGTTAAAAAAAAACCATATGTACGTGAAAATTTTTAAACAGTACGAATGAAGCCATGTACCAGATTTAGTGGTACATATGGATGTCTAGGTAAGCTCCCCTGGTCCAGCGCCTCTTGTGCTTTCTGAACTAGAAGGCGCAGCACGGATCCGGGGCTGTTCTTTGATCTCCGTCTCAACGGCGCTTCGAAGCGCTCCTCGCTGGTGTAGCTCTCGCTCTCGCTGTCCGCGGAGCCGATGGCCATCGGCCGTCACCTGTCGATCCATCACGACAAAGCCTGCCCATCCTTCTGAGATGGGCTCCCAACTTGACTCCTTTAGTGAGACCTCTACAAAGTGTCTCCTTTTGCAAAGTTCAACATAGTCCAACCCACAGGATCCTCCATGCTATACTCTGCAAACCTTCTTGCCATCCTTCAAACAAGCCACTTGGCGTGGACATGGCGGTGGGGGCGGAAGGTCCCTCAAGTGACTTCTCTCTCGTGCCTTGCAATTCCTCGACTCCCCTCTTTCGGTGAAGTCTGATGTTGGGATCCCTTGCACGTCGATGAACTTGTTGATGCTTCCTTCCTCCTCCTCTTCCTCTCTTTTCCTCTGCCTTCTTTAGAATGTTTCTTGTCCTTTGCACTCCTGCTCTTGCTTTCTTTCTCTTGACGATCTCGTCGATGTTTCTGCTTCCTCACTTCTTTTTCTTCTTCTCGTGGAGGAGGCACTGGGGGTGCCTTCGGCGGTGGATGTTTCTTTGAAGTGCTTGCCAACTCCTCGCAAGCACCACGTTCTGCCGCTGCCGAGCTCTTACCAGTGCCTCCGGGCGAGGGGCACGCGGTGACTGGCTCCAGGCGCACCGACAAGCTTTTCAGCTGCTTTACCTGCCGGGCGGTCCACAGCAGGTCGTTGGCGGCGCGCCTGAGGTCGCGGCTGACCCAGCGACCCTTGAGGTCAGCCTGGAGATTTTCCAAAGCCGCACAACCCATGCACCACGTGTCCTCACCAATCGATGGGCTCTGTCGGCACTTGTTACAGAGCCCAGTCGACGACATGCGCACCGTGAAGTGAGCTATTAAGCCGAAAACGGCGGTCCACAAAAGCTCACCCTATGAATCTGAAGATTACAATTCGCGGAATACACGCAAAGCATACTACACCCAGCATTGGCCTAGGTGCACCATGTGGCATGCTTCAAGCTTAAATATCTGTCATTGAATCCACCTTGGTTGGAATCTCAAATTTATAACAAGTTTAACAGTTTAACCTTTAGAACGAGTCGGGGGCAAGAACACATTGCTCAGCTCTGTTGGCCAATGAGACTCTATTTGCACAATTGCGAGTTTGCGGTTGCCTCAAGAAAGTCTCCCGCGCACAAAGGAGATGGAACTTGGCTACCATGCACCTGGCAACTTCAAGAGTCTTCTCAATGAACTCCTCTGCTTCTCACAAGTGTATCTGATAAAAAAGAGGTCTTGTGCGAGTGTTGCATATGGCAGCACATGTTATACAATTGTTGTGGCATCTTTGAACTGCTGTATGTACAAAGCAACAAGGGTAACTTGAACGGCAAAGCTCGTCTAAGTCGAAATAAATCCCATTCTCACCTGTATCATACCAGTGAAAAGCACAGCACTGGTCGGTGCAATATGTTGAAATTCACTTCAACCATAACGCACGAACTGTCTGCGGCCCCGCTTCTAATGACATACACTACAACTTCGGGCAGACTACTTTGAGGCATGATAAACAATTATCAATTGAGGTCCTCCATGTCTCTCTGGGCCACTTCTATGGGTAAGGAGCCAACTGCCTCGCAACTGCCTCTCTGCGTCCGTCCTTCCATGAGATAACAAGTCTTTTGTGGGATCCGACGACGAAGACTGGCCCAGCCTGGAATCGACGACCAGGAACAAAATCCTGCAGAGATTGCTACTTGATGTGGCAAGGCCTGCTTTGTGGAGCTATAACATTTAGATGCAATGCAGCTCAAAGACGGATAAGCTGCAGAAGGGACAGATTGCATTTGGCCTTCAAAACTCCACTAAGAAGCTCTTGTCAGGGTCCTCAATGTCCTCTTCAGTCACTTGGTAGAGCAAAGCAATGCCATGTTGACGAAAGCGTTTGTAGCCTTGAATTGGTGCGAAGAAGTGAGGATGACATGCTCTGCAGTATCATTCAGATCCATTCAATGCCTTGCCATCCCCTTGACGAGCCCTTGTTCTCAAAGTTTGTGGCTTGCAACCGCGAAGACACAAACATAGGCGTGTTCAAAGGCAGCATTGATTGGTAGAAATGCTATTAGTGGTCAATTACAGCAGACTTCACATTGAAGTTCATGCAACTTAAGCAGGCTCCGCCTCTATTGCGCAGTGCTTGCATCTCGGCGGTGGAGTCCTCCCACGTTGAATTGCGAGCAACACTTGGTTTGCACGGTTCCCCATGTCTATTTCACCTGCAGTACACTACCGGCATTCTACAAGTGAAGACTGAAGGAAAATCTGTCGAGAAAAGCGTAAATCCAGCGAGTAGCCCTATGCCCCTCTGCATTTATTCATATGTCCATCCAAACAACTCAGAATACTTGAACAATGGCAGTTTCATGCAGTTTCATGCAGTTTCACAGTTTCACCAAAGTGCACCTGAATTTCCTCTCCAGGTACATTGAAGTCGCGTAGGAAGTCGCTAGCAGAAAGAACCTGGCATTTCTGTGCTGATGATCTCCACAATAGCACCTGTGTTCAATGTTGAAAATATAGTATAGATGCCCATCCCAAATCAAACCTTTGAATCACATAATTTCCTACACATGCATGCCAGCTTTCCACAGCATCAAACAAATCTGCAGGCCTGTAGCTCACGGTCTGCTGTCTCCATGCGGACTACCATACTCCTGCTGACCAAGCGAACATAGTGAGTTCATCAGTCACAATGACTCCTGTCCAAAAGATCAACTAAGGATTTCCTGTCTGCTGCCAGGGCTCTCAGAATCATGAATCGGGACTTTTGCCACTTGCTCTCCATCCACAATCGTCCTCAGTTAGAGGTGCATGGGAACGAAGGATCAAGACATGGCAAATCTCACTGCGAGTGTGACCTAAACTTAAGGCCAAGGGTTGGTGACGAAAGCTAGCAGGGCCGGGGTGAGCATGCAAATGCACACGTCCCAGAGACGTCCCACGGAGGAGTTGAACCCGCGGGAGGGGGCCCCCCCGTACGCAGAAGTTTTCATGCGATGCGGCGCTCTCGAGGATTCCACCTCTCTTGCTACAGCAAGAACAACTCCAGCTAGCTGGTGCTAGCTTTCGTGAAAAATCTGCCCTTGGTTCTTGATGAACTTGATGAACGTTGCCCATGCGAAGCATGGACCATGCTTGCTTACTTACTTGGTAGACACTTCTTCCCCGAAGACAAACAGCCCGTTCAAACATCTTACTGGGTTCTGTCATTCATGTGTGTGGTAAGTATCATCTTTTGATTTGCATGGATAGCAGATAGCGCATTCTGCTTCGTACTGGAAACTTAGAGACAGACCGGACAACTTCGCCAACCTGAAAACACGCAGGCACTGAATAAGCCTACTTCCGGATCATTGAAGCAAAGTTCACCAAGCGTTTTATGTCTTTTTGTTGCACTCGCTCTAAAACAATGAGATTCGATCATTCTTTCCTCTACAGCAAGTGGTGACAAGGTCTGCTTGTTCGTTTCTCATCGTTTCTCAAGATCCCCTTTTAACATTGCGACAAGATCACTAATGGAAGTCCAAATGTGTTGCTGCCCAAGAAACAAACCCAGACCGGACTCCACTAGAGTGAGGTTCCCTGCCTGTGCCGGTCTTGCATAGCTGTAACCCGCACGAGGCACCCGACTACCTCACTGATCACTGGTTTCGTCGGCTTACAAGTTGATGCTTTCCGTCACCCGTGCACATACAGTGTCCCTGTGCAGGATAAAATGAGAGAAAATGCCTCTGCGAATACCATCGGACTTCATCACACTCACAATTATGAAATCATATGAAATCTGAGATCATCTAAGATCCTTTCCACGGCGCAGCAGAATCGGCAAGAAGCGTTCGCACATTTCTTCCTGCCACAGCCACCCTTGCTGCTAGCTGCTAGCTCGAGACCTGTTTCAAAGTATGACTATGACAGTTGAACAATGTTGAACGTGCACCTAGGCAGGGATGCTAAGGCAGAATAACGAAACAATCCTGAGAGAGTCGGCAAAACCCAGGCCAACAGTCAAAAGTTGCTTACGTTGTGCACGGGGGTGCTAAGGGCAGTCGTTGTAAATTCAGCCTTGGTATAAGAGGAAGTCATATGCATACGAAAGGGAAGACAAAGCAACGACTTACATATCACATGCAAATGCAGTCCAGGATGAAAAAATGTGCTAGATGATAATAGATGACGTACACGTGGCATGCCTGCTATGCATGATGTACATGATGGTACATGTTTAAGCTGGCTGTTTAAGATCGCTATATACATCCAATCACTCGTGCTATAGATTGATAAAGAACAATGGCTTTCCAGCCCGAGCAATGTCTTTTTTGAATTTGAACATACGTGGGCGTGACACGGTGATGCTTTCTACTCCGTCATGAATCAGGATGATGTGATGTTTACATCAGGATGATCCTGCGCGCATCAATTCGCCCCTCCTGGGATCTGACCAGCTCTTCAGGGCCCACCGGCTCAAAAACCTTTGCGCTTCGAAAAAACTGCAAACACAACAAACATGCTACTGTTGGAGTGCACGATCAAAATTGCAGTAATTCTTTGCTTGTGCTGTTGCTTGAAGTTAACCTTGAGATAGACATAGATGGACTTGTCACTTGCAGTTCCTCCAGCTGAAGATCTCAGTCACTAGACTTCTTCACCATGACGGCTCAAGTAGATTTCTCCAGCATCGGGATACCTGCCGCAAACTCTGCCGCAACTGAGCTGCAAGACCCAAAAATATTGAGGCCAACTCTGTACATGCGTGATAAATAAAGCACAAAATGGCCCTGCTCAAAGTGATAGAATCTCACCATGTCTCACCTCCTCCCGGCCTGGTGACCAAGAAGTCGCCCACGCGGAGCGGCAGAGGTATGGTGCCCTTGCCCCAAAACTTCCTGCCGGGCGAAGCACGAAGCGGCTGCATGGAAAGTGCAAAGAGAACTGAAAAAGCATCGCGATTGCTTTTAGAAAGATAGGATTTCATGGCAAAGCAAAGAACTGTCAATCAACGTGTCTAGCCCTGGTAGAGAAAGAGAACAGCTGCTCTGTCAAAAAATCCCAAGCGAGGCCGCGCTGGACAGCCCATCAAAAGCCCGCATCTTGGCAGGAGCATAGCTGCCCTAGTGAGCGGGTTACCAGGTTCCTATGGACCCGGAGGTACAGAGTCGCCAGACTGACTGCTCAACACAACATGAACATGTCAAACATGTCCTGGATGGCAAAAACTGAAGATCTCCATCGGTCACTTGATAAATTCGTGCCATGCCACGCCTGCAATGTCAGGAGCGAGTTTGCATGCTCAACAGTTACCTCTTTCACTCGACTGGCCCTCAGCCGTTGGGGGCTTGCACTTGGATTGCGATGTCACCAATGAAATGTGAGCAATGCGTGATCCATTGCTGAAAGCTAGCTAGACACTAGCACGGTGAGAAGAACATCACTACATGCAGCCTTCAGGCATCATTGTGCATTCAAGACTGCTGCAGGAGTAAGTAAGACCGGTGACGAGGGTTGGTTGGAGTCAAAGCGCCCAGCCTTTTGTAGCACTTGAAACCTGACAGCGCAGGAAAAATGTTTTGATGAGAATCGATCTCAAAGCACATCTGCCAAGCTTCCCAGAGTCTTTCAAAAACCTAATGATTGAAGTTCTAGCATGACTGTGAAGATTGAAACAACTCATTTTACTGTGTTGTTGATATGGAGCTCTTGATCCGTCATTTTATACGAGGTTCAGTATTAGGGCACAACGGCAATCTTTGACCAAATTGGAGCTAAATCATTGAAACAAACAAACAAACAAACAAATTCTCTTGCCCATTCTACGGGGAGAAACAGCCCAACATTTACATAGTAGCTGCACATTGTATCCCCGCCTCTCTCACGTAGAACATCGAACTCTAGCCCTTCGTCCAGAATCTCAGTTCCTGACGGACAAATGTTAGGGACGCAAATGAAGCAACACTCATCAGATCTCATCAGCGTTTCCAAGGAATCTTCAAGACTGGAAGATGTTCATAGGGTGGAACGGGTCTGTTGGGATAGCCTGGAAGTTCGTAACTCTCAGCGAAGCTGGCATCATCCAACACGTACCTTGAAAGTCAAATCTGCAAAGGCTTCAAGTCTAAGCATTGGGGGTGATGCAAGGAGCCCAATGTTTGTGGAATCAAACATTGTACAGGATTTGAAGAAGTTCTTCTATTTCATCAAAATACACCTGCTGATGAAAACCACATGAAGCATCTCTAACCGTTGCTCTACACGTTTAGGCCGGAATAGGAACTGAACTCCAGTGCCCACCACCTGTCTCTTGTTGCAAAACCGGTGACCCTCGGTGCCCCCACCATTCTCGGTCGGAAGTCTCGCCCATAATCACCATGCTTGTCTCATCATTCACCAAGGCCTCAGCATCAAACTGACTCGTGTTGCACAATATATACAGCTGCAACGGGGATTCAAATCGGGCTGCAACAAAAAATAACGAACAAAACTTTCTCAGCCCATCTTGTTGGCCACCATCTTACTCAAAGCAGCTGCTCAGAAGGCTGTTCATGGGTACAACATGCAAACCAAACTTGTCTTGGGCCTGGGAGGAAGTTTGTACAAATATCTTCAGACCTCAAACACCAATCCTTCCATGGCCTGATGTTGTTGATGTTTTCAACTTTGACTTTGGTCTCGGCATGTTCCCCGACCCAGGAACGAATGTTCTGTGCTCAAGGAGTGTACCCAACTTTCTGTCAAGACTTTGAACATTCTCCAAGCTTTCAAGCCTTTATATAGTTGTCCCCAAGTGCTTGAGCAGGCTGCATACCCTATTACCATCCACTAGCTGTCAATATATATAAATATATATATATAATGATATATTTTTGTTTTTGGGGGGCAAGGACAGGCATCTTTGAGATGGACAGGAAGGCCTCAGCTACTGTAGTGGATGGTGGCTCAGTGAGAAAAAGTATCGTTCAAGTTCAAGCAAAATCATGAAAGCAGAAACCGCGCTCACTTCCGGCATGCCACATCCGGGAAGGTACATCATCGGCTCATCCAATCCAGCGGCGGGGAGAAGCTAGACAGTCCATTTTTCGGTGTGGCATGCGCGATCATATTAGGTGGTTTGGTGTCATTTTCGATCTTTGGCGCTGACACGCACGTTTCCTTTTGCGCGTGCTCCTTCATGCAGAGCTCTTTCTGATGACTATTTTTGTCAATGAGAACATGTCTGCGGTCTTGCTATCAAAACTTGATTGCTCACGGCCCTTGCTGGATTGGTGCAAGTCTCTTGTTGCTTCACGAACTACGCTCCCCACAAGCGTGCTCAGTGCAAGCGTCCAATGACACGGCCTCTTCTTGATTATAAGCTTCCTGCTGAACTGGAGACCTGCCTCGGGGCAAGTCCATCTGTTCCAGGCATCCGTTGAATGGTGGCCAACATGAGTCCTTAGTCCTCTACTTCCCAGGTCCAGAAGACGGAAAACAATTTTACCGTCTGAGAATTCCTTCCGCACCGTGGCAGTGCGGCAGCGCGTGGCCCAGAGGCTTTGCTCAACATACGGCATCGGTCTTTGGGCAACTGCTGCAGCCGCTTGGCGGCCTGTGATGTGCATTTTCAGGAGCGCGCTTGCTCGTCGGCTTACGGGTGCACTTGCGAGTGTATATTGGCTTACGTGGGGCACAGCTGTGGACAATAAAATGCGTCAGCGATGAATGCTCCTGGCCGTTGGCGAGTTCGTTTTCCATTTCTTTGCAGGCTTCCTGGCTTCCTCTCAAAAACAAGTTCAAACAATAAGCCAATGGCTTCTTTACATCAAATATATATATATATATAGGAGGTCCGGGAGGTTGAAGATCCAACCACTACATATCTGCCAATAGAATAGAAGCCATCTGGATCTCCCTGCTTTTGCCAACCCACTTGTCCCGTCCTGCAACACCAAAGTTGACACCATAGCTGCAAGTAGACTTTCTCGAGAAAGCTGTGAGACAAGGCTCTTTATTTGCAGCAGAAAAGCTGGACACCAAAAGAGAACATGTTCGCATGCGTTTACAACTGGAAGAGCACATGGCCCTAGCCACCAATGTTGCCTGATTGTGGAAAAAAAGGTGCAAAGTGGCAAGGAACGGTTTTTTCCTATCAAAAACCTACGTACCTATACTATTACGTACTCTAAAACCTGCTGGACTCAAACGCTGAGTTCTTGGACCACGACTATCCGGGCAGGGCCGTTCAATGCCCCAGGAATCAGCACCGAACGTGAAGACAATTCTATCCTCTCTGTGAACAATAATCCAACGTCCTTATGTTTGGAGCATGCATATGTTTGCAAAAGGAAGTTCTTGCAGGCTTTCACAACTTCACTTATGGTTGTCATCCTTCAGCATCTTGGCCATGAACTCTGAAAATCAAACTTACATGAAACAAAGGCCAGTCCTGAAAAAAAAAAACATGCCATACATGGGTTGTGCAAGAGTGGGTGCAACAGATTGCAACAGCACACTGCACAAAATTGCTGAAACATGCGTCTGCGCAGCCAGAGTTAACCACATTTCGAGCACGCAACAGTTGGGCAATAATTGTTCAGGTCTTTTCCTGATAATCTTGGCAGGGTTTTGCTTTGTATCACACCAATTTGCTGCCCAGATGCCTTGGCAACAACATCTCCATCTATGCTGGTTAAAACCTGGAAAGCACATGACATATCTTCCCAAGGCCACTGTGAGAATAGTTGGCACCTTTTCTCCGGGCGATTGATCTTTGAAGGATGTTGGAAGGAAAATTTAGAGACCCAGGATGTATGACAGAACTTTGAAAAACACTATGATTGAATTCATCGCAGTGCATCCATGACCGCTGAATTTGGTATGAGATAATCCAAAGCCGAGTTTCAGAAAGATGATGGCTGGAAGTCTTCGACCCAAATCCCAAGAGGAGCTTTCAACTGATTCGGTGAGATCTTTTGCAACACTCTGGCTAACTAACACCGTATACATCCGTATATCAGAATACAATCTATATATAGTTATATGTCTATAGTGTATACATGATATGTGATATGTATATAATATATGTAATAACAATAATAAATACTTCTAGGATCCTCTAGGCTAATTATGCTCATCCCCTCGCTGGGTGCACGCCCTGCCTCTTCTCCTCTCAGGGCACGTCGTGCCAGGCGGAAGCCCACCTTGCGAACCTCGGGACTTGCGCCAGACGGGCCCCAGGACCTACATGGACCTACAGACCTCTCGATTCTTCATGGCTGTATGATGCTGTATGCGGATCAAGCTTTTCGGTGTGGCCCCTCTTTCCAAGCGCTTCGTGACTGCTGCTACAGGTACCTGTCCCTCGCAGTGTTTTTGACTCTTGGGATAGGGAAAGAAAAAGGCTCTTTCGATCATTTAGTTAACCAAAGGGCCTTGCTGCGCAAATGAATGATTCAGATACTGTCATCGACTGTACTTCCCCTTCTGCGAATACCACTTGTTCGCATCAGTGCCTTCAGACGTGGGGCTCTGGGCCTCCTGCAACTGTTCCTTTCTTCCGGATGATTGGCAAAAAGTGCCTCCGCAAATGACCGGGTGACACTGTTTGCAACTCATGCAGGCATCTTGCAAAATTGCACATTGAGCGCCAACTTTCTGCAAAATGGCATCTTGTTTACTGAACAACCCAGGTAGATAGTAGGCACGGGGGACCATCTTGTACCTTTGTGAGTGGCATTCGCGGGATCATCTACTCCTAGCTCGGTAGTTCTCTTTACTCACCTCCTAAAGGTCCTAAGGTTCTTTACTCTCTGTCTTAGATAACTCGCATCGCCTGCACATTTCATCTTGAGAGCGAATGATCTGAGACAAGTAGATCTGCTCGGCATTCCGACTCAAGAAGACCTACCATTACGCTGCATTCCGACTCATTGTTCTTCATCGTTCCATTCAATGTATGACAAAGCAGTTCAAAAATGTTCCAAATATCAAATCTGAACCTGCTTGAAAACTTCAGTCTCAGGAGTCTCAGGGCTGACTGACAGACGGACTGTTCTCATAAAATCTTCAAAAGCACCTCCGGAATAGCGAGAATGGGCGGCCTCTGTGGACTCCGGATATCCAGTGGCCAAATAGTCACCTGTCAGTGGAGAGCATAGGAGCATTGATACCCTGTCCAAACATCGTAACTAAGTCTTAGGACGGTGGTGAAGGTGAAAGAAAAGGATGCGTGTGTCGAGCATCTTTTCTGAGTACGCACTACTTGTTCAAGTGGACGAAAGTCTGGTGGTTGCAGCGTGTTGTGGTATCTGTCAATCTTCCTGAGTTTCGGCGTGGATGCCCATGCTTTTACATCTGCTTCTTCATGTCTGCATCCTTCTGGCAATGTGCACCCCCCACGCCTGCACGAACCTTAGCAGCTATTGCCCAGCAGGAAGAGTTGGAAGAAGTGTTACTAGAAGACATGATCAAGCAAAGGGATACTCCAGGAAGAGTATATGTTTGAAAACAATCTCCCAGTGACCCTCTCAACAACAGCGACCTCGACACAAGAGTTTGAGGGTGCAATCAATATCATGCAAGCGTCTCTTTTTGCTCTAATATCCTAGTATCCTCTGCTATGATTCTGCAAATAGGCTCCAAGCAGGCTGCGGGGTTGAGCTGAAAGCTACCTGAAGCCAAGGTGGGCAGTCAAAAAACAGCCAGGACCCCAGGTGCTTTCAGGCTGTCCGAGACATCTTTTAGTCTTTTAGTGTCTTACTAGTGATTAGTGAGAATATCCTAGTAGTCAGCCTGGTCACGTACAGGTTGTATTTTTGGACCGGGGACGATAAATGTGAAGAAGGAAGAGGCCCTGAAGGCCCAATGTGTTTCTTAAAGATATGTTCATTATATTTAATTATGTCCTTTAGACCTTTTTTTTGTCCTGTAAAGTCTCAGTCTTGTAGTCTTGTACTTGAGACTCGGCCATCTTAACCGTTTTGTTCGTCTGAGCTCATGGTGCGGATCAACTCCTAAAGCGGTGTTGTTTCCTTTGTATGTAAAGGTTTTGAAGCACGCCTCAAATCTACCACCTGGTACCTGTGTCATGTCCTCCTCCGTCACTTTGTAGATGAGGACCTAGGCTGCGGTCCAGCCCTTCAATCGTTGACAACTTATCAATCACATGTTTACAAACTAAGACTGCATGTGCTGCTTTGATCTTCATTCATTCCTCTCATAATATCACATAATCTCGCCACCGTCAGACTGTCGGAGTATGGAAGCGGTTCCAGGAAATTCTACCTACACCGCAATCGAAAACCAAATGAAAATGACAGATCTTTCGCTTCAACGGAACAACCATCTCCAGTCTGTCACCGTCGACCTCTGCAGGTCAGGACTGTCAATCTGTACCTTCAGGACCTCTCGCGTGGCTCCTTGAGCCTTTTTTGGCTCTTTCAAGTAACAGGAAGCTGCTAGGTTGGAGGCCATCACTATTCGGTTGGAGGCCATCTCTTCTAGTAACAAGTGACAAGAAGCTACTAAGTAGGTCTTCTCTTGGAGCCACACGAGTCCCTTTCGTTCGTACGACTTGTAGCCGCGCTCCCTGGCCGGAATTGAATGGCATTGATATCCAATGCTCATTCAGAGATCTGGGCTTTGTCATCAAGGCATTACCATGATGGGCAATACAAACTAGCTTCAAAGGAGGTGGAGAATGAGGATGAGGTGGTGGCAACTGTACGCCTTGATAAAGGTGTTGTTTTTCTGCTGAGACTTTTGAACAGCTCTCTGTCATCTCCAAACCAGACCACGTAACCTCCACCGCGTGGCCTGGCAAGACTTAAATTCTCGGAGCGTCGGCGTAAGACGAAGCAACGTGTGTGCCTCATCGAGTCACACTCCGGACTCTTCTCAGTGATCTCAGAACCAGGCACTTCGTAGTTCCTCGGAAATGGTCATGGAACGCTTGGCTTTGTACCACCAAACAAATGTTCCAAGGCTACATAACACGCTGCCTGTTGTTGATCTTATTGGAACGACTTATTTGCCCCATACCAGATCTTCTGCCCAGAAGGAGCTTTGTGCCACCGTAGGAATCTTTCTGCGTGTGCAGTGTTGGCAAACGGGTTAAGAGTCTTGACAAGACTAATAACTTAGTATAGTCCCACATGTTGTGGAATTTCACTGATGTATAACATTGTACAACTAGTAGTGGATTACACTAAATATGTGTGCAAATTGTACCTGATCCAAATACTATGGCAATCAAGCTAATATTGAATATAATAGACTATAATAGACGAAGACTGTCCAAAGAACCTAAGAAGCTGTCCAACTGATGAAACAAAGCCGCTTCTCGCGCCTTTCAAACTTCTCACGACTAAGCACATAGAGCTCTCTGTCCATGGAGTTCTGGCGGAAACCCACACCACCCTGTCTCTCCCAAATGGCTGCAATCGCAGCGAAAATATGTATTGCATGCAGAACCTAGCACCAAATTTCGCATGGGTGATCACCCAAAAGCGGCGTCTCAGAGTCTTGGCAATGATAAACACGCTGAGACTCAATAAATATGTTGACATGTTTTGCAATATTCATAATTACGTCAAGTTGTTTAGCAGGCCTGCTGAATGACATAGCTAGTGTCCTTGGAAGCATTTGATGGGGGTCCTTGCTTTCTTGCGTGAAAGTTGGAAACATTCGACAGAAGAGAAAGGAGGAGACATCATAATTAAAGAAGAATCGGTTCAGACCCGAAGACATCGCAGCACTGCATGACATTAGATATGAAAGGGCGCGGCAAATCTACTTTGTGAAGCTGGAAAAAAATATTAAATAGTATGTTCATTCTGAGGACACTGACGTCAGCCACCACTATCTTTGCAACTGTCTCACCATTGATGATGGTCTGCACCTGCACGAGCATTCTGAACGTGTATCGAAATGCTTTGCTGCAGTAAACAGGCCACTTGAGCCATTCACAACATGCTTGACTAGAGCAAAAAAAACTAAATAAAGCGAGTAAACACTTGAACATCACGCGAGGCTTGCCACCTCTGATGGGCGACCGTAAATTGTCGCTCGCAATGTTGCCCGATGGAGAAGGGAGGGGGAGAGGAAGGAGGTCGTTGGCTGATGGCCTGTAGTCTGACGGCGGACACTATGATGCATTGTAGTGTTGTTTCGTCTGTTAAACTGTCTGTGAAACAACAAAAAGAAACTCCTTTGAATCTGAAACATTCATTGGCTCCTTAGCACCAACCGATGTAGAGGCCAGAGTGTTGTTCTACTACCACCGGACCATATGAAGGTAGTATCTAGTCGAGCGGCAGTTATGTCAGAGTGATCACCCTTTATCCTGAGGTCAGCCCAGCTAATCCAGCACATGTGGCCTCTTCCCCCTTGATGGCCGGCCGCGCATAGCGGCAGCCAACCTTCTGCACCAAGGTGCCATGGGTCCTCCGTCGTCCACCGGCTTCAGGTGACTCAGTTTAGCTTGGCTAGGGTACAATGGTCGACCCAGAGTTTCCGGATGCGATTTGGCTTGACTCATTAATCATCCCTTCAGCATCTAAATCTATGTAGTTGCCATCATCGCTGCGGGGCCCCTGGTGCTCTCGTTGTTTTTTTTGGTTGTGACATGGATTTTCACAACCGTGGAGGCGTTGACATTTTTGCTGTTTCTTGTACATGTATGCGATACTATGGGTTATGTTGACGTTCATGTCAACTGGGGTGGGGTGGGGCATGTTAACGTTCATGTGCACTTGCGTGGGATGGTGGTGCTAGTGGGTGTTTCGACGCGAGAAGATGCGTGGATCACCTCAGGAGAACGTTAAAGCACTGGCACCGAAGTAGTTTTGGCAAGTGCCGAAATGGGGTGCGCACGCGTGCACCGCAGGGTGACTGGGGGCGTCATGATTGATTTGCCAACAAGACCAGGCGCCTGGTGGCGTCGTTCCCATGTAGTTGGATGGAAAACCCATCATCGAAGGGATTCTACCAAAGAAATGATTGTGAGTCAGTGAGCTCAATGATTCTCTGATCATCTCTGATGGACATGAACATATCCAAATCAAGAACAAATTATCAGTTCACTTTGTGAACTCAAGAGTGTTCAGCCTCACGACGAACAGGGAATGCCGAGGGACACAACACTGACATGTAGCAGTATCCATTACAGCTCCAAAAAAGACCTCCAAGCCTGGCCTCATGATGGGCAAAAAGATGTCACACATCTGCTGCTGCGTCAAAACATCTTCATCAGTTGCCTGGCTCGCAAATTGAAAGCAAACACCAACTGACAGAAAACGCGGGCATTGCCCCACTACTTTCGAACTTGAAAGGGTGACATGAATAGACTTGCAAAGTATAAAGCTAGTGCAATGGTCGCCTGACAAATTTGGTCATCTGGTTCTTTTGTCGGAATATTGTGTTTGCTCAGAATTTTACTGGCATGCAAGAAGTGTAAATGAAAACATAGAATAAACCATCACAACACATGTTGATCGCGTTGACTCGTTCATCGATGGGTTCTGTCCAGCGGGTCCATATATCTTCTAGAATCCTTGCTGCATCGGATCCTCCGACCGACCCCTCCGCTGAATCCCTCGTTGGTGCCAAAACCAAAGACGTCTCAAAATTAACTCCCAAACAGATTCAACCAGCAAGAACTGGCTATCCTGTCTGGTCGGGCACAAAGCAATAGAAACTTTGTGTTCAGACATGATTGAGTCATGTCTTTGCAGCACACATCGTTGGGCGGTCCTCCTCCACTGCCTTGACCACCAAAGCACCGGCAGGGAAAAGCCTGCAAGCTGATCCAAGGTCCCAACATGCTTAAATTATCAAATCATCACCTTGATTCGAGTTGTCTACTTTATGTAAGCAGGAAAACCAACAGGTAGACAGGGTTTACTGAATAGACTGGAATTTGCTGATGTGGCTCTCCGTCAATCCCCATGACATCAAATATGCAACCCTCAAGCTGCCTGCCACACAACCTTGTCCCTTGTCGCAAGGCACAAGGCATTTATGTTGCAAATGTATGATCAGCTTGAGTTGACAGGGATTTGTGACTGAGCATGTGCGCTTCCATGTCTTTGGACAAGAAGAGGTAAAAAGCATTGAACATCTTTGAAACATCTTTTGCATCTCGAGTGGCCCCAAAGCCTCCCACCAGGAAAGCATGCGAAGCGGACCAGTGCTGCCGCAAAATCCTCCGCAAATGACATCATAATGATCGGCTGGGCTTTGAATCGTGCATAGGTTTCAGACACGGGATGCTTGCAAAGGGGGCGTCAGCACCCCCAAAAACTAGAATAATTCAGGCGGGTCGCCAAGGTATGTCAGAATAAAAATATAGGGTCCAACCTTGCAAATACATCATCTGACTAAGCTATCAGAATACCTCAGCGGAGGCTACCGAGGCAAACATATTGATTTATATAACGCTTATCTTAGACGTCGCCCCCCTGTCCACCCTGGAGCGGCTCACTCACCCCAATGCTGAAGCACTTTATTGGAAGGAGGGTTCCACTAGAATCACTAGAATAAAATCTGCCAACCCAAAGCCAAAGCCAAATCCACCCAAAGAATGCAAAGCAATTTTAATTCTAAAGCTTTCTGGCTGGGTTGGGTGGCTCTTGGGGGGGTGGTTTGGTGCCATGCAGCAATTTGACAAAATAGAATCTGCAGTGCTCCAACCTCTAAGGAAAACAACTTGTCTCTGACCGTGTCTTCCCAAAATTGATATGTTTGTTTCTCCAGAACTTACGAGGAAGTAGTTTTTCTATCATATTCCTCGTTTAGCATTTTACTGGAGGGTCTGCATGTCATATTTTTGTGTTGGGAAAGACTTCTTCCTCGTAAGTTTGACATGCTAAACTTGATAGACTTGCTCGACTTCCTCGTTTGTCAGTGCAAGAACTAGAATGTCCAGAAGCATACAAAGAAGCCTACCAATTTTTGTTATAATTTGGTAAACTTCCTCGTTAAACAGGATCGAGAGAGAGAGAGAGAGGTTCTTTAAATTCCTCGTTAGATTTGCACTTGAGGGCTTCGAGAGCTTCTTCGTTTGTTAAAATCAAAGCAGGTATCTGTGAATTCACCTTGCACATGATCGGTGGCATGTGTGCACCCCAGAACTTACGAGGAAGTAAATCTAGACGCCCAGCCATTTGGTTTACCAGGCAGTGTTTTAAAGCATGTCCCAATCAACCTAACCAGGAAGTCACTTTGCAGCCTAACCAAGAAGCTGTAATTTTGATTCTATTCTTCCTTGTTAGCTCCCAACCTATGAACATGTAAAGCAACCCTGGCTTACCTGGAAGTGTATCTCCCTGGTCATTTTCCAGCGGTCCCTGGGGATGCAGGGGCGCTCGGCTTCCTTGGTAGTGAGCATTGCATTTTCTGGCCTTCCTCGTTTGCTGATTGGGCTTACCTGTTTGTGGTCTATTCCCGGGGGGATTTACATGGTCACCAACTTCCTCGTAAACAGCGTCCTCGCCGAGATTTACTTCCTCCTGTATATTCACAAAATTTTAGGGTTGTACGTTATCACCCGGAATAACGCGAAAAGGCAGCCAGTATTGTATACATATACATAGTGGAGATTGCAGGCACATCCAAGATCATCCAAGATAATAAAAAATAAACAACCAGTTCTGAGGTTCAAAGCCATTGTATCACGACTGATTTTGTGTTTAACAACTTTCTGTTTATTCTTTGGAACCAAAGTCCAAATCTTCCAAACACAGACTGTATGTTTAAAATAGAAATGTTAAACAAAAATATGCCGAATGGTGCTGGGTCCTATAATGAATTTTCATGGCAGCAACCCATATGTTTCAGTTGGAAAGGTAGCCTGGAGACTGAACAAAAACAGGAGTAAAACGAAGTTAAAGGGCGTCTTTGGTAAGGGCTCTTAAGTCTCTAAGCTCTCTGTCTTTCTCGCTCTCCTGAAGATCGCCAGCGTCGCCCGAGACCTTCAAAATGCGGTAGTTCGAGAAGCCTGCCAGTGCTTCTTTGATGAACCTCAATCACTGCGTTCATCAAGCAAATTGCAAAGCTGCAAATCCATGCAGTACCCAGGTCACCTGATCTCAAGAGCATCTACAGCTTAATTGTTTGTCATGCTTACGAATCTGCACATCACTAAACTGTTCGCACAGAGATAGTTTGAAGCGTGCATTCTGATCCAATTTATGGTTTGTGCAATCTGACCGGGCCACAGTAAGGCTGGGTTCGTCGTCCAACAACCTGAGTTAAGGCTGACACCTTGCTCGAGGTACACTGAGCAGAGGCAAATCACAAAGCCGTTCCTTGGGTTTAGCACAATGCCTGCCTAGTCCCGGTCTAGTCTTCAATGGTCTTCATGTACCGATAGACATCAGCGATCAACTCGTGTAGTGTTTTACAAGCACACACCAGAGAAAAGGTCAGCCGACAATAAGAAGCTAAAAACAAAAGGTCTGATTGATTACATATTGATTGACTCATTGTCGAAGTCCAGATTCCAGACTCCGGAGGTCAAAGAGTGAACTGATGATCGCCTCCTGCGAGAGTCAAAGGTCAAGAATCACAGTGTCTGACGAAGCTACTAGTAACAAAGGGCATCGCTACTAAGAGCAAGGATGCTACTAGTAGCTCCTGGCCTTACTAGGAACAAGAAGCTACAGTACTAGTAGCAGGTGCATCGCTAGTAGTAACAAGTGCATCGCTACTAGGAACAAGAAGCTACTAGTAGGGTGGGTGGCCGTCAAAGCACGCATCTCGTGACCATGGGACCCATGGGCCTCTCCGGGACCGAAGGGTACGCGTACCTGACGGAACCAATACAAGGAAGAAAACGCACAAAAAGAAAAGTCAAACACCTACAGCCTATATACAGTAGTTGTAATTCCTTGTACGAGTTTGTTTTGATTGCAGACCAAGAACGCGGGCAAGGGCAGCAGTGATGAGTACTAATGGGGCCCTGCTCCACATGCACAGAAGTGTAAAGTAAAATACCAAATATCGACTAATAGAGTTATTCTCTCTTGGCATGCTTTCTTGGCATGTATTGTTTCTGCTGCTTGCATCTTTGCAATGAGTTGGTCTTCGCCTGATCGCTTCAGCGGATAAGATTCGGTTCAGAGGGCGGATGGAGTAACCAGAGTGCAACTCGAGAGTTTCTTTCATCTGTCCAGCAATCCCTTGCGCTGGGGTCTCTGGGGTTCGTTGAAGTTTTTTCATCCATGTCTTGTCGGATTTCGCCAAGAAACGCAGATTGTCTTGTCGGATTCCACTGGCACCTCCTGGATCAGTCTGTAGCGTGCGTATGCCTTTACAATCTCTACTTCCAAAAGCAATTTGACGAGGAGCAATAGCATGACAATACTAATAACAATAGACAGAATGTCCCTTCATTTTCACTTTGCCAACATTCTTAGTCCTGGTGAATCACACATCTCACGGCAAAGACTCAGAGAAGGTTCTAGTTTGTCTACTGTCATGTAGCGCATGTAGCGGCTTTGCTGAACCACAATCTTTTTGGGTCCCGCTGCATGCCTTCCGACCTGCTTCATGTAACGCTAGCCAACAACTTCCAACTTTGGTTCATCGTTAATGGTGCAGACTTAGCCAGAACTGCGTCCATGTTCATCAATTATTGAAATACTAGGCTCAGCAAAAGGCGTGATCCCAGCTCCTCTGGCAATGCGATCTCACAAGCTGGATCACCCAGTTCAAACTCCGGGGCCCCCTGTAAGGCGTGATGCAAATGTGACAACCGCCATTGGAGTGCCTCGTCAACTCGGACTCAATCTCACTCTTGCTATATTTTACGACGTCCCTGAGTCGCATGTCCTGTAAAGCACTCCATCATCAAAACCCGTCTATATAATATATTTTAGTATTACCTGTTGCTTGGAGTTCAAACTGCACCGTTTAACAGCTTGAGACAGTATACTTCAGGCAAACAAAAGCTATGTTAACGTGTCAAAACTCCGTCTTTTGGCATGAGGCGCCCAATCCGGTGCTTTTCATCCTCCTCGGGTGGGAGGGCTGGGCTTCTTTGAGCCACCCAACTGCGTTTTGTGACACGTTTCGTCGTGCTATGCATGACTATACGTGTCAAAACTCCATCTTTTGGCATGAGGCGCCCAATCCGGTGCTTTTCATCCCACTTCAGAATCACCAGGGTTGGGTGACTCTTAGCTTTTCAGCTGCTGGAATCTTGCCTGCTGCCGTCGCCGTTTCTTTTGACGTCCTCTTCTCTTTGATCTCCTTGTCAAACTCCGTGGCAGCATCCAGCATATTCCTTAAGATCTTAAATGGAACCTTCTCCATGTCGACCTCCACGCGGTTGGCCATCTCAAAGCAGGAGTATCTTCCCTTACTGAGGTCGTCCGCCTCCTCGTTTTGTTCTCTGGGAACCCAGGCTAAGTCCAGGTCCAGCCGGGAGTCCTCCAACTGCTTGGCCAGCTCCATGAGCACCAGCGAAAGCGGAAACCTCGTAGTCAGGAAGCGATCGAGGAGGTAGGCGTTGGACAAGTTATCCGTGAAGCCAGTGATGCCCACTCGTCCGGCTCCGTTCCGCCATTTACTTCCAGGTCCAAGCACGATGATGGCCACAGTGACCCCCAGGAGCTCGGCACTAGCGATAGTCCGAAAGGGTTCACCCTTGACAAACAGGAAGGGTGCGTTCCGGCGGGTGAGGGTCACATGAAACCAGCGGGCCTTCTTCGGGTCGACCGTTTCGAAAGTCTCCCATCCTCCAATCGCGACCTCATCCTTGTCCGCCATGGCGTCGACCCTGAAAACCTCCCCCAGGACCAACGGGTCGTCCGCGAGCTCTTTCATGGGCGCCGTCTGCACCATCTCCAGGAAGAACACCATGGCCAGGCGGGTGGCTAGGTGCAACTCGAAGAAGCTACCCCCTTTTACTCTAGAGGCCGCTGCATACAGGGGTGCCAGAAATGGTCTGGCATACTTCGCCGCCCCTGCCAAGAAGCCCATCCGTCCAAGCCCTGCTCGAAAGTCGCGACCCAGGAGCCTGCCTTGCTCCGCGGCCCAGTTGCACCACCTCCTCAACCAGGTCACCTTCTTCTCTCCGATGCCCAACCTCCAGTGTTTCACATCCACCGTGTACCCAATCCATTCGGTCTGGACGCCCCCCCTCGTCTTGTTCCACGACACAGGGATCTCGAGGATCTCCACGAAGATGAAGAGCGCGATGACGAGTTTATGGTAGTCGACGCCGCTCGAGAGAACCAGGCCATCGTCCGCGAAGAGGAGCAAGTAAAAGATGGCGTCCGAGGGGATCACCTTATGGAACGTCCGGAAGATAGTCCCCGCAACTCTCCCCCACCAGAATGCCGCCGACGCAACACCAAAGGTTCCCCTGGTGTTCACAAAGACCTCCCGTTCTTCCTCCAGCCGGCAGGCTTGCAAGCCCCAGTCCCTTCGGTACGAGCCTGTGAGCGGCCTTGATGTCAAAGGCCATCAGCAACCTAGGCCCCTTTGCGTGCTTCTTGAAGGACTTCATCATCGCCTCCACGTCGTCATACTGCGGGAAGGCCATCTTGTTCGGCTGGATCACCTCCGTGTTCACCTGGATTCCATGAGTGCCATCATGCACGACCCGGGCGTCTTCCCAGTTGGGACCGCCCCCAGCGAGGCCACCTGGAGGTCGCCCCCATAACGTCCTCGGGGCTCATCCTCTCCATCCATCCCTTCTTCACGTCCTTCTCCACGTGCTCTCTCACCTTAAGTCGATGTGCGCCTGGGCCGAGAGATAGTTCTCCCCTATGGGCCTCCACCCAAGCCGCTGGCACCTGGTCTTCCATCATCTTCTTGTCCTTCTTCTCGTAGACCACCGGGACCAGCGGGATCTCGCCTCTGGTGCCTATATACTCCCGTGGAGGCCATGTCCTCCAGGTATCTCGTGTCGGCGTCCTCCACCAGCTCCGCCCAGGCCTTCACCCTGAACGCGATCTCCGTCTCTCGATCAGTGCTCTTGCGTCGAGGGTCCACCCCAAGGCTCATCACCACCTCATCCAACTTGTTCCTGATCGTCACGACCTTCTCCTTGAACGGCGACTCCGAATGCCGTCCCACCGCCAACTCCGCCATGAGCCCCAACCTCTCCTTCTTCGTCATGGTGTCCACGAAGCCGCTGACCTCCTCCCAAAAGGCCTTCCTCAGGGCTTCACCACGTTCTTGAAGAGGGACTGTTCGATGTCCTGCTGGTCTGACCCTCGGCGAACACAGCCCCAAGCCATCCACCACTCTTCTCGCCTTGCCCTTGTACCAGACCTGAAGCGGCGCCCATGGCTGCCCCTCTTTTCGGGGTGCTGGCAGTCCCCTGCTCATCTTCGCGGTGCTCTGGTACAATTTTTCTGTAGAAGCGTCCTTCCTCTTGCGTTTTCTGCTCTCCTCCTCTCCGGTGCTCCCACCATGCCCTCCTTCACGATGATTTCCCGGATCTTCCCCTTTTCGATCTCCCGGATGTGGATCTGGTAGATGACCTCCTGCCTGATCGTCTTGCCCTTGGTGAGGTTCACTGCCTCCTTTCTTTTCTCCGTCTGGGCCCTTGGACCCCCGCTTTAGAAGGGCACGCTGCGAGCCAGGTGTCCATGGCCGCAGGGTATGCCGCGGCGGCAGTTGTGGCGAAATCTCCCTGCTGTGTCTTGCGTATCAGGGACTGGTGAGTACCTCCGCAACGGCATCGTCCTGGAAGGGGGCCTTGGTAGACAGATTGCGAAGAGAAAACGGGTAGGCCCAAGAAGAGTTCGCTCACCAAGGATTCGATGCTCGTCAAGAGCCTGGTGGGTTTTGGGGATGGAGCTCCAAACTCACACTGATATGGGGCCCCCGAGAATGCCGTGCTCTGATCCACCCAGTTGCGCACGGGCAGCAGCTGCCAAATCGACGCGGGCCTGATGCGGTTGCCCCACCGTGAGGTGCCTCCCAAGTCCTCTGGGTGTTCCAAAATGAAGTGGATGCCCAATTCGAGTGCGATCGTGATGACCTGAAGGCACAGTTCAATCATAGCATTGCTTGCGTCGATCTTTTCCCGCTTGGCTCCCTCAAGCCAAGGAAACCCCCAGGGGTGGACTGATGATCTCAAGGCGCGGACCAAAGTCGTTCGCCCATGATGCCCTCGACCAAGTCCCACAAGGTGGGGACATAATGATAGCGTCATAAACGCCAGCCCGCAAGTCCGCCAGAATCCTCTGGCGCAGTGCATCTTGTAAAAGGTCATGCTGTGGATCCCTAAGGATGTCGAATTCATCTGCGACGATGTCGATCTGCCTCTTGGAGGCGAGGTCTTTCAGGCGCTTCACCAAACCAGTGTCACGTTCGCGACCGGCAAACAGGTAGAGCACCTTAAACTGCTGTCTCTGCTTTCGCTCCGGGGCAGCCGCCCCTAGTCACTCCTTCGGCTCCGGATGCTCATGCATTGGATGTCCAGGGTCCAGGCAGATCCGGCAGGCGTGAACTCGGCCGCATCCTCCTTGGCAACCCTCCTGCTTGTTGTTGTAGGCGAAACAGATCTGCCGCCCATCCGGCGTCGATCCATGGAGCCCCGGAGCCTTCCCCTTTCCTTTCGAGCCGTTCTTGCTCTTGCCCTTCCCCTTCGTCGCCTTGCCCTTGGAGTACGGCGAGTCGAACTGATGGGGACGCTCCTGTTGTCGAGTGCGAGCGCCCCACCCCTCCCTCAGGCTCTGTGCAGCCGAGCTGACTGCCAGCGGCGTGCTGAAGTACCTCTCACGGATGTCCGGGTTCTTGACCACATTCCTCAGCGCCTGCGCCAACGTCACCCCCTTATTCATGTCAAGTCCACGGGTGGCACCGATTTAGGCACCTTCTGCAAGGTGGCCTCTGCATCCATCTCATCCTGAGTTGCGATCCTTTTGCCGGCCGACTGCCAAGCCAGAAAGAGCGTGGCCAAGCGTATTGCATCCTTTGGCCTCACATCCACGTCCACCCCGAGCGCGTCCTTAAGGACTTCCGGTCGACCGCAATGGCGGCCAGCATGGCCACCGAGGTGACCCCAAGGTCATGGAGACCTGCTTGCAATGCCTTCTCCACCGACCGTCCCTCCAGCAGGCCCTGCAAGTCGGGGTTGAGGTCTTCTCGTCCTCCGTGAGGCTCATCATGGCCTTCCGCCCTCTGAGCGGGCGAATTGAGGGGAACTCCGCCCCTCCCCCCTTCTTCTTCGAGTCCTCCTGACTCTGGCCTCCGGCCACGACCCCGTCCCAGGTCCTTGAGCCGTGCACGAACGGCGGATCACCTGAACCGGAGGGACGATCGACGACCGACGGACCCGAAAGAGAAAGAAGGTGGGGAAGAGGCCCAACCCGAACCAGGTGCCCCACAAGGAAGGGGGCCCGCCCGCTCACATCCCCACTCCGGTTTTCCTCAGCCTCCATGCACTCCAGCTAAAGCCTCCTTTTCGGAGTCTTCCATCACGGAAGAAGATGACTCCGATGAGATATCGCCATCTCCATCTTCTCCTCCTTGCAGGATCTCGGCCATCTTGGCCTTCGCTCCAAAGCAAACAGCGCAAAGCCGCTCTCCCTCCTCCGACGAGACCTCCGCTGCCCGACCACCACGAAGTTGTGGTAATGAACTCCCGGAATCCTGAGACCTCCCAATCACCGAAAGGATGTAGGTCCCCTTCGGGTACAAGGTCTCCGGCTTATGGTCGGGCTCCTCCTCTGCGTCGCTGAGTCGGCGAAGCCGGTCGTGACGCCGGCGATGATGGGGGTGTCTCCCTCTCACGCCCTCCTGGGCCTGGCTTCAGGATCAGTCCTCCAGTGTCTCTCCCTGGCCACAACGGCGGAGTCAGAGGCATCGCCATGTCCGTGGCCTCCTCGAGGGTCTTGTCAAAGCTCTCCTGCAGCCACCTAATATAGTTGTTGATCACCGTCTTATCGTCCACGATGTCCGCTGTCTTGTAGCTGTCACGGATCTTGTGCGCCACCCCGCCTTGAGCCGCCATGACCACCTTCTTCGTCGCGATGGCATACTCCTCGTCCACGCTGGGGCTCCAGCGCCCCCACCTTCGCCTTTTTTTGTTGGGCACCTCAGCGATCAGCGCCCAGGACATCATAGTCACCCGTTCTGAGTGCTCTGACCAATGCCCAGTCCCTTCAGCGGCCATCAAAAGGCGTCGATGTCCGCTCTCATCTCGAAGGCTCGAGGGAAGCTCAGAGAGAAGCGCCCTCGAGTATGCCATGGCATCCGGGTACCTCATCATGGCCTGTCCAAAGCCGTCGACTTGGCGTCCTTGTTCATGCTGATGAAGAGCTCGTAGCCAACCTTCAACCACTCCCTCTCAAAGACCCAGGCATTGACCGAGATGTGGAACTGAACCACTTCGACCCGCCGGCCTGCCTCCGTTGTTTTGCTCCTCATGATGTCACCTTGAAGACCGGCTCCGGGCTCCCATGTGAGCGTAGCTGGGGGGACCCCCTCGGCGTCATGAGCCCTGAGAGCCCCCCACAGCTTCACGAGCTTAAACCAGCAGAATGTCCTCTTGTACTTCTGCAGGGCGGTGTTCATGACCCCCTCTTCCCAAGCTCGCAGCACCTCCAACGGCAGACGGGATGCCTTCTGCCTGACCCGCGGGCCCCAAATGTTGCTCTTCTCGACCTCCAGCAAGTAGTTATGAAGCGCCATAGAGCTCGACAACCTCCGCTCTGGTGGGAGTTCGGCAGCGTTCTCCATGAACACCAGGGCCTTGTATAATGACCCTGGCACACTGCGGCCGCAGGGTTCTTCGAGGCGTGCATTGATGTAATGCATCAAATCCTTGGGATGCCGAAGCCATTGAACTCCAAACACTCCTTCCATGTACTCCTGGATCCGCCTGCCGTGCCTCACATGTTGACGGATCGTCGCCGCGCGTCGACCCATCGCATACCGAGTTGCGACGTACTGCATGGCCTCAAACTCCTTGTCAGGCTTGCCCAGGTACCCGGCCTCGAAGAGAAGCTCGTGGAGTTCCTTCACCCACCGTTCACGTTCAGCTTGCTCGATCTTCTCCCTCTGGTTGTCGCCGGTCACCTTGGCCGTGAGCCGCTGAAGCCGTGTGGTCCAGGTGGCCTTGGGCATCAGCCTCCGAGCGAGCTCCATCGTGGTCCATCTTCAGCATCTGGCGATCTATGTAGCTCTTGTCACGAAACAGGAGGCGTTGATGGGTGAGAAACACATGGTCCTCCAAGTCCAGCCGTCGTCGTTGGCGCTTTGCCTCGCGATAGAGCTCGGTGTAGTCCTCTTCTCGCCATCCATCAGCCATGCCTGGTAGAAGGTCTCGAATCTCTCGCCTCGGCATGGCGTCGAAGAAGGCCAGAGAGGGGGCCTCCCATCCCCTCTCCAGCAAAGCTCCGACCACACCAGTGCCTGGCATGATCGAAGCTGCCCGGCCCAAATCCTTCTTTGAGCCACCCAACTGCGTTTTGTGACACGTTTCGTCGTGCTAGGCTATGCATGACTATACAAGTCCAATTTTTATGGCAGGGACAAGTATCACACTGTTTTTACTTGTAGAGTCATAAAAGGTTTCCCGGTGTGAAAAACGACCGTCCCATGTCTCCCGTGTAGGATTCTAGGGGAAAGGGATGGAAAGGATGTAATGAGTTTGTCTGGGTAGTGTAGTACGATTCCAGATAAGCCTGGGTGTTCATTTGGAAGGATACCCATGCTAGAGTAGTGAACAGCACAGCTGGCAAACTATATAAGTTTATATAGTAGCCGCGAGTTCCAGCTGGAGATCTTCTCAACCTCATTCGCATGGCCTCCGGCAGCAGCACCAACTTCTCCGCTTCTGCGGCGACTCCCGGCTCCCTCAGAAACAAGAGTTGTCTCTACTCGTCTTGTTTTAATTGCAACAAGAGTTGATTGCTGCATTCGTGCTTTTCGTGGCGATGTATCTAAACTATAAAGAGCTTCCGTGTTCTCCTTTGCCATTTGCTGCGAGCCTTGAGGCTCTCATCGTCTCCAAGGACACATCGAAGGCACGCTGCACATTCCAATGCGTGCGCAACCTGATGCTTAAGGCATGAGCCCAAGACGAGTGAACATAGCCTGATCTTTGACCTCTAGAATTCTTCCAAACCTAATGGCGATGGCCTCCAACCTAATAGCGATGGGCCTCCAACCTAATAGTAATAGCGATGGGCCTCCAACCTACCAGTACTGTAATGTCTTTGACCTTTAGAATTCATCCAAGAAGCTCTGCATAGAAGGTCGAGGTGAAGTCACGAGCTGCGCTGTCCAACAGGGAGCTGTCTGCACGTACAGCCACCGCCCGCTTAACTCCTCGTTCCTGAATGCGGGCTGTGGAGCTACAGGGAGGATCCCATTCTCTTGGATCTCGATTTCTCGTTCGGGCAGGTTTGCCTTCGACAGTCCAAACGCATGCAGTTTCTGTCCAAGGCACTAGGGAAGTCAAAGCCAAGGCCTCCAGCACAGAGGCACTCATGAAACACGAAGAACCAATCATATGGGCATCCAATAAATAGAATGTGCACTCTTTTTCTTGATGTGTGATTCTGCTCAAGACTTGCCACGTCGTCCAAAGTGTCATCCAAATGAGATGCAACAACAACAAAACTGAATCTAAATCGAACGTTTGATAACACTATGATAACTGACTATACACAAGCATATGTGAATTATTTACTTTGTCAACGAAGCGAAGAAAAGTAGCTAACTACCAATTCAGCACACTGACCAAGAAGAAAACAATTGTGAATTATTCCATTAAAGGAGTACCTAATCAAAGACTTGCAGGGTCTACTAGGGGTGCTAGGTAAGAGTAGGAGCAATGAATCCTCTTGCGTGTGACCTAACTCCTTTATATAGTCTTATTTGATGCATCTAGTGTTGATGACACATAATCGCTGACATCTACAAAAAATGTCAGAGCTTCCTGCGGAGATAGAAAATATAGTAGTTCTTTGATTCTCGAAGGTTTTTTTACAAAGTTACAAAGCATATACGGAAGAATCGTAGAAAGAGCCAGTTATAATATGTAAAGCCCAGAGGAGCAATGGAAAAGTTTCTGTGCTGGTTTAGCGTAGTTGCCGGGGTTACGGGGTTAATCCGAGGCATCTGCGCGGTAAAAACGGTAAAAATCGAAAATGTTCTTTTTTGACCGTTTTTACCGGGGGGGGTGCTCCTTTTTCGTCTACCATATCCGCGGTAAAAACGGAAAAAATAAAAAAAAAAATATGTCTTTACCGTTTTCCCCGGGGGGGGGCACCCCTTTTTCGTCTACCATATCCGCGGTAAAAACGGAAAAAATCGAAAATTTTCTTTTTTTACCGTTTTTACCGGGGGGGGGCGCCCCTTTTTCTCCACCATAGCCGCGGTAAAAACGGAAAACATTGAATTGTTGTTCCGTTTTTACCGGGGGGGCGCCCCTTTTTCTCTACCATATCCGCGATAAAAACGGTAAAAATCGAAAATGTGTTTCTACCGTTTCCCCGGGGGGGGCACCCCTGTTTCGTCTACCATATCCGCGGTAAAAACGGCAAAAATTGATTCTTTTTTACCGTTTTTACCGGGGGGGCGCTTCCTTTTTCAATACCATATCCGCGATCAAACCGGTAAAATTAATTGTTGTTCTTTTTGTACCGTTTTGATCGAGGGGGGCAAAGAGGTCTATGTGTTTTTTTCAGTTTTTAACGGAGGGTCACCGCTGTTTCTTCTGCCATATCCGCGGTAGGTAAAAATCGAAAGTTTTCGATCCAAGTGATGTAGGCTTTCATTGCCCTGCAAAAGTTAAAAGTCATGAAATTTTGATCAATCACCAAACTCCTCTTGTCGAAAAGGGGACACGCTCCTATATGATAGGAGGAGTGAACCCCACCTGGTTATAGGAAGATACCCGGGCTGTAACATTAAACCTTTTTGTTAGGTCTTCTAGCTTGTGACCTGGTCCCGAGGCATTCTCGCAGTAAAAAGCGGTCCAAAGTGAAAATTACTACGTTTGTTGTTTACCATTTTTAATGAAGAGTCGCTTGCTCTTTTTGCTTCTACCATATCGTTAAAAATCAAAGTTGTGTTATTCTCCGTTTTTGTAGGTGGACTTGTCCTTTTCTTTTCTACCATCTCCGTGGCAAAAACGGTAAAAATCTGTGTTTTGAATCTCTCTTACTGGGGGGCGCTCCATGTTTAAATTTCATATCCGCGGTACAAAACGGTAAAAATCGAAAAAAAAATGTGTTTTACCGTTTTTACCCGGGGGGCGCCCCTTTTTCTCTACCATATCCGCGGTAAAAAAGGAAAAAATCGAACATTTTCTTTTTTTACCGTTTTTACCGGGGGGGTGCTCCATTTTCTTCTACCATATCCGGGGTAAAAACGGTAAAAGTCAAAAATTTTCTTTTTTTATATATATACCGTTTTTACCGGGGGGGGCGCTCCTTTTTCTTCTACCATATACGCGGTAAAAACGGTAAAAATCGAAAATTTTCTTTTTTTACCTTTTTTCCTGCGGGGTTGCGAAAGGATATATACCCCTTAGCAAAACAACGCTCGCGAACCAGCTTGGAAAAGTTTGTTGAGATCAAGAAGAAAATGTTAAGGAAAGGGTGTTGAGGGGAAAGGAATCGCACCAGCAATGAAGAGCTGAATAAAAGGAAGAAGAGCTAAGTCACAGCAAAACCAAAAAACACAAAACGATTGACCCAACACCCTTTGTTGTTTCATAAGGATCCATTGGGTGTTTTGGTTAAGTTGTTACACAGTTGGAGCTGGAGTTCAACCCTCAGCTGCTTATCTGGTTAATTCTATTTAATTCTGGTCAATTCATTTGCATACCACTTTCCATCTACACACCCCTTTGACATAGGCAAATTGTCAATAGCGCAGAAGATGAAGCAGCAGCAGCAGCAGCAACTCAACTCAGTGCACAGACAAGTGCACTACTACAGTCCCCTGTTCTGAAATTAAAGCACCAAACACCTAGCATACAATTGTTTCCTGGCACTTTGGGATTGCTTTCTATTTATGTGCGTCAATGTCTTTTAGACTTGGTTCCAGTGGTTACTTAAGACTCTTTGTTTGGTCACATCCGGCTGTATGATGATTGTGAGTCTCTAATCGAGTATGGACAATGTAATATCACAGCAGCCACCCGGCCAATTATATAAATGATAAGAACAAATGGGCAAGTTGAATCGAAAGAGGATCTTTTGCAGTTGCCCGCTGTAACTCTTACAACTGCAAGAGCAGAATCAAACAACAAACAGGATTCAGAGTTGCCTTGCATGGCCTTTTCTGCAGCAAGCACAACGTCAAGCAGTTGTGATGGGCGGGGGAAGGGTCCTCTTTTGGCCTCAATGCTGTTAAAGCGATAGCAATGGCCTCCAACCTAATACCAAAAAATATATACAAAACAACATCACATCAATACACATGTTGACTGCACCTCGGAGTGACAGCTGAGGAACACGAGCAACTGCGGCGCAGCACCGCCACCAATGAGCAAATCTGCGAAGGCCTTGCAAAGAAACTTTGTGCTCGGAGGTCCAGCAATACGTAAAAAGGACTGAAGACTGGAAGTACAGTTTGAAGAAATGTTCTCATGATTTATCTTTTGGGCACACTGCTCATTAGCATCTATCAAACAATCAACCGAACTTCGGAGTGTTTTGCGTCACTGGACATGGGGATTCCAACTGATCCAAGCTCGGAAGTGTGGCCTGAGGGGTCACTAATTGACCATCACCCATAAAGTCTTCCAAGATGGATCTCACCTGCGCGGGAACGGCTCCAAAGTCCAGCGATCTGTTCCGAACACATCTATCTAACTAAAGTAAATTTGGCAACCAACCGGTTGCTCTTGGTAACGTTTAGCTGCCTTGAGAAAAACACTTGAGGCGTTCCCAAAACGCTTTCAAGCGTTCTCTAATTAGAAAGCACTTGTGAAATTCCTCCTTGGGTTCACGCTGTGGCGTGATGAATCAACTGTCGAACCATCAAGTTCCATTGCATTCCCAAACACCCAGACACTCCACATGCGAGAACATGCGAGAACAATATCAATGGCCCGAGCACCAACAGAGGTCGTGCATCATGACATGCCAACCCCATGCGGTGGACAGACATGTACATGTACATACATGTCGCATGTCTATGCATATGTGTGTGTGGTTTACTTCCATGTCAATCAGCAAGCTTTCACAAAATCACATCCCGCCAATACCTGCCTGAGTGGTGCCTCTGGCCTCTGCTTTGTCTCCGCGTATCAGCCCAGTGTGGCAGGAGACATGCAGGACAGTCGCGGACAAGCGAAGCGCCTTTTTGAGGCCTTGACGTGTTTGACACAGCAGAATCTCTGTTAGCAACCCATGTTTGACATTGAGGAATATTTGTTCTTGATGTGGTTGTGGTCTTTTCCTCAGTTCAAAACTAAGAGATTGTAATGCTCAAACAAATCGTTACGATGTTTTTGGTGATTCAGGACAAAACCGGTTCTTTTTGATGGTGAGACAAGAATGGAGGTGCATCTGCGTGGAAAGCCAGTCATTCAGTCATCGCCTCGCAAATTCTCTCGTGTGGCACAGGTCAGTCGCACCACCACACCTGCTGTTCGCAGGCCTGCAGGTAATTTGAGAATTTTGGCCGGCCAACAACGCCCATAACACTAGTACCCTAAAAAACACAGGAGAATGGAAGTAAAATGAAGCAAATACAACACAACAGACTCACCAACATCTGCAAGGTCAACATAATTGCTAAACCATGCCTTCGAGCTCTCCATCAATAGAGAGAGGGCTGTATGTCAACGGACTGGCAAAAAGGAAGTGCACTTCCAGGTTTTCACCTCAAGTTGCGATGCCCTTTGCTACTTGATGCGTTTTTGTTCTGAAGATTAGGCTATGAAGCCACACCCGTCAAGTCAAAGTGTTCTTCCAAGACTGCCATGGTGTGAGTGACCGTCACAGTTGTGGTCTGTCACAGGGCAACTGGATGCAGCTAGCTGGCCGAAGCAAGCCAAAAAGTAAGAAAGAATGATAAAGAATGCTCCTGCTAGCGTGGAAAATGTTACACACCCTAAACTCACGCTTGAGACAAATATCAATATTAAACAATGTTAAGTTGTCCCGATCATCTGAATCTTTATCAGAGTACTAAAAACACACAACCTGCCCAGATCCAAGAAGGATATGTGACCAGGAACGCAAGCGATTGCAGAGACGAGTGAAGAGGAAAAGAGGAAACAGCATAAGACACCGCATGATGTCATTGCTAATAGTAGCTTCTTGTTACTAGTATGTATGGCCAGGAGCTACTAGTAGCTTCTTGCTCCTAGTAGCGATGCCCTTTGTTCCTAGTAGCTTCTTGCTACTAAAGTTTACTAAGAGGAATGCGAGCGATTGCAAAGACGACCCAGTAGCTTCTAGTTACTAGTAGAGATGCCCTTGTTTTTAGTAGCGATGCACTTTGCTACTAGAAGAGAACAAGATTGCACAAACAGCATAAGACACCGCTTGATCTTGTGATCCGCCTCTTGGTCCCGATGCATGTTTGTCAAGCTCCAACAGTGTCCATGCTCATGGCCAATCTATCTACACACATTAATCTGTGGGGGTGTGTTTTGTAGATCCGATGAGATTGTGCAGCAAGGTGAAGAGCAGACCAGGCTTCCAGGGTGTGTCTGACTGCGAGAAAGTTGCACAAAGCATGCAGCATACTGCATACTATAAGAACTCGGAATACAACGGCTTCCAGTACGCACTACTTCATCATAGCCTCATACCAAGATGCGTGACGAGAAGATCTGCTCCACGTTGCGGCTCATGTACACGACCTTGGTTCAGAATCAAGTCATGCCCCACTGTTTCCAAGCAACGCAACTAGGTCAATGAGTCAATCCCGAAGTCCGTACCGTGGGTACCGTGGATGAATTACCATGTCTCTGTAGAAAATCTAGGAACCCAAGTAGAACTCTGCATTGCCAAGACAAAAATATCAACAAATATTGACTGTATCATCAGATTGAGTTGCGTTCCATGATTCCACTTTCCCCTGTCAGGCCCGCAGGATGAGGCCTTCTTCTCAGGCAGGCGTGTCACCAAGTAGTCTCCAGGCCTCTCAATAAAAGTGCCATAGAATCGAAGAACCACAAATCAACTGGGAAAGGAATCCCTTGAAGAACACAGAGCAAGGTGATCAACACCACAAGCCATGAGTCAAATCAAGCACAGTAAAATCTTGATGCCTCAAAGGGCTCCAGAACAGGACTGAAGGATTGAAAGACTCGAAAGACAGTCTGTACGACCTGTCCACCCAAGGTGAAAGATCAACACAGGTGAAAAGCGAGATCTGCGAGATACTGGTGCTATCGGCATGCGGGGAGAGATGCTTGAAGGGGGAGAGTTTGTTTGCACGGCATCAATCAAATTTGTAGTGGATGTACAGGTGTTTTGTTGTTTTGTGTTAGGGTAATGCTGGTGCAGGAGAAGCAAATGGAGTCGGTGGTTTAACATTCAGAAAGTAGTGGAAATTTCAGCTCCCATTCTCCTGTGCTGTAGGGGTCAGGACAAATTATGTTAGAGCTGGTCCCCCGGTCAGCTTTCAAGAGTGTGCGGCTTTCCAAAGCACCTCAAAGGTTGCGGGACAATGCTGAAGGGCACCTCCGGCAAAAGAATTGTGCAGTTGGCAGTTGCCAACATGACGCAAAACGCACTCTTGCACAAAAAAGCTCTAAGTCTGCTGCTCTGATTGTAAAGCAAATAATATATAATTAGTGTATATATATATATATATTTACATATATTCAAGCCATTTCAAGCCTTGGGATTGACGAACAAATTACAACATGTTGCCCAACCTGGAACTTCCCTTTCGGCACAAACTCCATGTCCTCTTCAGTGACCTGGAACTAGTGACCATGTATCTTGTGCTGAATCTGCGGTATGCCGCACGCTTGAGAAGTCAAATCTGTGTGGTTCAAGCTCTGGAGCATTTCTTTCAGATATGTTTCATGATTTACCACCTGTGGCCACCCTTCTCACCCATAACGTCGTGTGACATAGTGACAAAAATTGAAACATGGAGAAAACAAGTAAGAGTCAAGTGCCTCAAGTGCATGAGACCAAAAGGGTAGGTCACATATAAATTGGACGTTATTAGGCTAAATAGCATCTGATATTCATGCTGATGACCGCTGGTGCGAGTTGCTTGGCTTGACAGGTGGAACAGGTTGCCCAGCTCATGCGCCGCGCTGGGAGCGCCGTGCTCACCTTGTATACCAAGAACATTCCTGCTGTCTTCTCATAGATCTTGAAGCCACGGTTTCGCAGGACGGCCTAGCTCAAGTGACCAATTTGAACGCAATGTGAGATCGCAAGTAACCTCAAGTGGGCGGACGCACGAGTCTTGGAAAGCCCATCTGCTGTTTTGCCGTTCAGAGTTTCGAAGTGGTCTGGTATTGCGGTTGTGCTGCCTGCCAAAAGTGTTTAAAGTGTGAGAACCCTCCACTATCAGAATCCTGGGGTCTGACATGATCAAACCACAGCTGTCAACAGCTCAACCACGATCACCCATCAATCTTGAAATTTGACTGCTGAAAGTGCAGCAGATCTGTACCATGCAAGTCGAACGTACAGTACGACTCAGAAACTCCAGTCCGTCTGGTCGACGGTGGTTGTTACAGCAAGTTCCAAACTTGGCAAGCCAAACGGCAGCCCGCTCGACTTGAAAGAATGATGCCAATGCACTTGACCCAGGCAGCTAGCGCGGGTTTCATCAATGTTCAAGTTTCAAAGCCGAGCTGGCAAAACCTTGACATGGGCAAGGACTGCCTGTTGGATTGTCCCTCTGCTCCGAAAAAGCTCTTCAAACAAGAACGCAACCTCAGCCTGATTTCTGCTGGAATAGAGTCATTCTTAGCTCAAGTGTGATTCGCACAAACAAGTTATTCTGCAGAACCCTATGGTTCACCGGGTAGATCTCTATCCAGCAAACAAGCTCGCTACGTTTGCGCCAGTCACTGCTGATGAAGGATGACTGCCCAAATACTTCTTTGTGAGGCTCCCTTGGCAGTACATTTTGCGGCAACATACCCCTGTTATTTCCATCAGCAACTTTGGAAAGACTTGGCTGCACTTAAAGCTAAAAAGGCAAGGAACTGGTGCACATGCCTGGACTTTGAAACTGGACATTGAAACTGGCCAGAAAATGGCTTGTCACTTGTTTGAGCGAACATGGGTCGCTCATCG